AATTCAAATCTTTGTTTCTCACACCACATTTGTTTGTTTTTGAACACCACACTCAGCAATATGAACCTATGTGACTGCAGCCTGTACACAAACAAGACTGAACCAGATGAACTAGTGACTGATATGATGAGCAACAACCCACGCTGTTGGGCAAGGTGACATCAAATCAACCAGGTCACGAGTCTGACCACCTGTTCCCTTCGGTGACCACTACAACCAGCACAGATTATTAGTACGGAATCGGGTGGTCAGACTCACTGACTTGGTTGATGCATGTCATCGTATCCCAATTGCGTGGATGATGTTCATGATGTCAATCAGTGGATTGTCTGGTCCAGACTTGATTATTTACAGAGCGCCATCATATAGCTGGAATATTGCTGAGTGCAACATTAAACAAAAAAAAACAAAACAACATATTTACTAGGGCTGCAACGAATACACTATGAGGCGAATACAATTCGTATCACGAATATTGGGAAACGAACACAAATATTAATTCACGAATACAATAACAAGTCAGCAGTTGATGTATTGTTTGTTATGTTCAATGAAGCAATAACAACACAATATTTTACATGGTTTGTTAATTATTAATATATCATAAATTTCTATACTGCACTTATCCAGGTGCTAGTATCTGCTCAAATGCGACAATGACCAGTGACCACAATACTGTCAAATTAAATAGTATAAGAGTGTTGTCTTTTGAAGAAATCTGTGCATATAATATGTCCTTATGGACATTTTTATGTAAATGCACATGATTGCATATTATAAATATTTGATTCTAGTGGCCACAAATAACAAATATAATTCATGAATGGATACGGATCGATTCACCGAATACGCGAGTGAATCGTAGCATCCCTAATATTTACATGTATAAACTGAAAGGATGTCGTCGTATGTTTTGAACATGTATGCATAGACACATGATGAAATGTCTTTTGGACTTCACAGTCCATATCTCTTCTGTTCTAACAAGATAAGCTGACAAAATGTTCAGGGGTTCAAATCAGTTCATTTTCTTGGACATTGACTGATCTGAATGCCCTGAAGGTTTTGTCCAAATTTGGTATATTCAGAGGAATGGCCTGTGAAAAGTTGATACAACCATGGAAATGTGCAAAAGCCATTTGTCCCAAGAAACAATAATATGTTTATTCTAATTTCTTCTCCCTTGAAGTTAACTAAGTATCCAATTAACTGACAATGAAAAAGGTCAGATAACTACTGATCAATAACTGAGTATTTCAGTCCAACTTTCAGTCCAACTTACACATTTGGTATATATTTTTTTTAAATCTACACCAAAACACAACTTCAGCCATTAGCTAAGTTTACGATCCCCACATACAAATTACTTGGCTCTGGATTCAGAAAACATGACCATTATATACATGAATGTAAAGTCTTAACCTCAAGTAATACCGATAAGGTTAGTTCACCTTCAGGAGTCTTTACCAACCCATTAATAACCTTTCAATCAAATCCTTGTTATGAGACAGAAATAAATATTATCGCAGGAACAAAGAACTTTAAGTCTATCTCAGCTTTCAACATAAACAAGTCAGTAATGTAGCTACAGACATGTTATAGACAAGTTAAGGACCAACTAAGGACACAAGCAGATTTTTTTATGACTCTTATTCTCTGTGTTCCTACTGTAAGCCAAGTCTCCAAGATAAAGACTCCTATGGATTCTGGGAAGCCAAACATAGACACACCCATCTCGCCATACTCCCAGATACACACAGAACCGTTATGTATTAATACAACCAGCCCGTTATCTTACAAGGAGCCTACACTTGTTGGATTCAAGCATGGTTGGAGTTCTTGGGATGGGAGTGCTTAGCTTCACTCACGCTTCTAGTATTAAAAACAAGGTGAAAAGTGTTTCAATGGTGGAAGTGTCACTTAAATACTCCTAGTTTTCCTTACAAATATCAAGGCTTGTATCTAAGTACAATTTATTGAGTGATTGAGTTGGTTGGTTTACCACTGCCTTGAACAGTATTTCAGTTATATCACGGCTTGTCAGATTGATGTGGGAGGAAAGTCCAAATTACTGCGATGCAGGTCTCAGATGTTGGTGAAACCTGGCCTGGGAAACTATGATGCTGGGAACATACTCAATGTGAATCAAGGATTCGAACCCCTGAACATAGGTTAAGGGACACAATTCTGCACAACAAAGTTATTGAGAAAATGCAGTCTGATAATTGGTAAAATATGGACAAACTCAAGATTCAAACATATCACTGGTCCTTTCATAACTTCACTAAAACAATTAATCTGCTTACAGGGTTCAAGGATTTGTTATTTTTGTGAGCATTTACTGCAAGATAACAGTAATAAAGCACAGCACAGCATACCGAGGTAATATTCCCATCCTAAATCTCTACCCATATTTCCCAAATCTTTGATACATAGTGAAAAAGTTGCCATCAGTAGCAATCCCTGGTTGTTTCAACTCGTTATCACCCATCATCATCATTAGCTGCTGTAAAAAAGTGCCAACAGTGCACTTTTATCAGCTTGAAGGTCACACTAATTCTGTGCTATCTAAATGTTTTCCAAGCGCACACAGTTACAGCATTACGCTAATAACACTCCAGTAACTTGACTTCCAAATATTTGAACAGCAAGCAAACCTTTCCTCAACCCAATACAAATTAATTATAAAACAATTGCACATTTTCCTGCACTGCAATATCATATCACTTACAATGGAATTCTGCACTAAAATATGGGAGTTACAACAGACTGTAGAGATAATAATGCCCAACACAACACCACGGGCATTATTTATCTAATGTTTACACTCCAAGGGACTGACCGAAACAACAAACAGAAGAAAGAATCGAAAAAAAGCCGTTTTCAACCTGCCCATTGACCAACAATGCCAATAAAGCCAGCCATTGTGGCCAGATTAACCAAACACCTCGGCCACACAGGTTAGTTTACCAAGGTTTTTTTTAGGTTAGTTTATCTGTTAAGATAAGATTAGCTGGTCACGATTGGCTCTGCAAGTCTTGGGACTAGCCATAGGTAAAGGCCACCCTGTGTACCGAGGCTCCACCAGTCGGGCTGGAGGGGTGGTATGAGGAGCATGCAGTCCCACATTCAGACGACCACACAGAATAAACATCAGTGTTTTCATAACCATCAAGGAAAGCACAATGCCATTTACATGGGGATTGTTCTGAAGCTAGGCATAGTCAACCCAGATAAATCTTCTCAAATACTGGCCAATGAGAGCTTTCTTTCCAGAAGATATTATTAGTAGTACCAATATATTCTTGTCTTGTAGACAGTCACAAGTCAGAGGGTTTGGTTGTTTTACTGTTTTTTATAGTATTTCTGTTTCATTGTAGTCTGACAGCTTGTGATGTGAGAGAGACGGCCACAGACACGTGCCCTGGTTGTTTACAAGGAGAAAGACAGGATGACAGTGTTGCTGACACACCAAGGGGCACACACAGCAGCAAGTCTGGGATAGGGTCCCATGAGGTAATATAGCTCATGTTATCACTGGATCATTCAAATGATATCGCTGAAACACGGTGCACACTGGGAATGAATGGGTTTCACACATTCTTACAATGTAATCACTGAAACCCTGTCTGGAGACAGGGAGTGTTACCGTTATGTTATCACACACAGCATTCTTAGAATGTAATCACTGAAACCCTGTCCGGAGACAGGGAGTGTTACCGTTATGTTATCACACACAGCATTCTTACAATGAAATCACTGAAACCCTGTCTGGAGACAGGGAGTGTTACCGTTATGTTATCACACACAGCATTCTTACAATGAAATCACGAAAATCCTGTCCTGAGACAGGGAGTGTTGGGTTTCACCCACCAGCATTCTTACAATGAAATCACTGAAACCCTGTCCTGAGACAGGGAGTGTTGGGTTTCACCCACCAGCATTCTTACAATGAAATCACTGAAACCCTGTCCTGAGACAGGGAGTGTTGGGTTTCACCCACCAGCATTCTTACAATGAAATCACTGAAACCCTGTCCGGATATGGGGAGTGTTTGGGTTTCACACACCACCATTCTTACAATGAAATCACTGAAACCATGTCCGGAGATGGGGAGTGTTTGGGTTTCACACACCAGCATTCTTACAATGAAATCACTGAAACCCTGTCCGGAGATGGGGAGTGTTTGGGTTTCACACCACCATTCTTACAAGAAAATCCCTGAAACCCTGTCCGGAGATGGGGAGTGTTTGGGTTTCACACCACCATTCTTACAAGAAAATCCCTGAAACCCTGTCCGGAGACAGGGAGTGTTTGGGTTTCACACATTCTTACAAAGACACAATGACAAGATGTATGCAAGTAAGTCAGCTCTTCCAAACATGACTCAGTAACCAGTGTAGACCAGCTCTGGCCCCAGTAATTGGCCATAAACCATCTTAGTACCTACTACAATGACAACCATGTGTCTTTCTGACGTTGCTCATCAGACGGCAATCCTTGGAATCCCAACACCATAGACAAAGCCAGTAAGATTCACCATTGATTCATCCCAGCAACGGGAGTATAAACATTCCTCAAGTCAATACTTCCTGACAAGTTAACATTTAACAAGAGTCAATTCAAAACAGATCAGTCTCCAAAGGAAGCGTGAACTCTCTACATTTTGTCAAGTATGATTGATGGATCTATGCAACATCTGATTAAAAACAACATTTTCTTCAATGTATGCACAACTAAATTAATTCATAATTGAAAATATACTTTCAGTTTTCTTTGCATGGCAGAAAACTTTCACACAGAAAATCTTCGTTTGTTTGATCTGGTGCCATATATATCACCCATTACCATGATTACAGAAGACAAATAAGTATAAATCCACCACACACTGGTTAATATTCTTTCTATCAAATCTAAAAACATATATATTCATCAACCTTGAGTATCAACAGCATTTTGACATATGACTTGAATAGTTTCATAAATCTCCCATATCTTACCTTCTTTGTTACGTTTGTATTGACAATTTCTTTCTCTCTTGTCATGTCTTTCTCGACAGGCTTGTCGCTGAGAGCTGATGGAAAACAATGGCTTTTATAACAAGATTTACTTCTATTGCACAATCAACCTATTTGGCTTATTATCAAGAATGAAATTTTCGTATTTTTTTTATAAACGAATGATTAAGAATAATCTGTTAATCACGTCGCGATTTCACATTTCAGACAGTCATCTACAAATTATAACAAGATTTTAAGAGCACATAAGCACAATTACAACAGGGTTAGCTAGCAACCCATTCTGTCCTCCTTGACTTGAAGGATGAATGTCTGAACAGGAGTGTTCATATTAATCATACTCACGTTTCATGCTAATTAAGGTAACGGGTATTGGATCGCTATCCATCATGATATATTTATCCTGCTACTTTCTCCTGACTATAGTTGTACCACTCAAATCCATGTTAAACCCGTGTAGGCATCACCGAATCATCACGCATCATCAGTGAGCAACCTCTGACGTATATCCATTATTAAGGGCAGTAACATCCATTTCATCAGTTAGGAATCCACCAAAGGCAAACAATGAAAACATAGCAATGTGGGAATGCAGAAAATTCACGAGCACAGAGAGTACTGTATAGATCCATCAAAAATGAATAATATTCATTTCGCAATCACATGAATCTTGGAGAGTTTTCACATTCAGCCGAATACGCCACATTTCAGATAAAGGACTGCTGATACCACAGTGGCCACAGTTTTTGTGTCTTTGTTCCGTAATCTTTACAACCAGTGTAGATAAAATATGATTGTTACACGTGGTCTAAAAAGGGAAACAAAATGTCTGGACACCCTACAACATTCAATGAAACTGATGACACTATCCCCTTTGGTAAACATATGGATGAATACCCGGATTCACTTTGTCAACAGATCGGTTCTGACACAATAGGCGCACATATATCAGCAGACGTCAATACATTAACTAACACAACGAACTGCAGTTTGTAAGTATTTTTCTCATCATGAACCAGACTTTTTGAACAAACGCTCATCTGGTAAAACACAGCTCATGAATAAGCATGTAAACAATGTCTAAATTGTCAGTCACGTCAACTTCTTGAACATCGTTGAAATATAATCCCCAAACACTCAGCGACAAAAAAGTCTCCACAATATGTTGAATGTTCATTGGGAAAAAATATATCCTACTGAAGAAAACGGTCACAGTATCTGTAAGCCAAGTGTCACTTCTCTTGGCAAATATGCACACGGATATCCCAATAACCAAGTAAATAAAGACCCAAAACACACTGGGAGTTATCTATATGGTTCCCAAATCACTTCCAAGACATCGTCACAGAGCACAACAATCAAAACATCCAAATGTTGTCAAAATGCAGCAGTTTTTTGGGGTGCCGTCTGCTTTTTTCCCTGCCGTCTGCTTGTAACCGTCTGCCCCCTCCTCTCTTGACTGACTGACAAAGGTTGGGTCAGGCCGAGCTGTACAAATACAGGTGTAAATTTGCTCACATTCACGGCTGCTGAAGGAAGCATCCTCCAGCATACACGTAGCTCTCACACATGCACATCAAAAGGCAGTGTTATAACAGTACACAGTCTTAGCCATTATCTAACGGTACATAACACGGGGCACCACATTTGTCCAGTCAGCCTATTCTGTATACAAGCAGGCACGATACAGGCTCATAAATAGCAACGTATATCTAAAACTCTATTAACACAGTATTAAGCATGAAAACATCAAGGCGTCTCTTTCACTCCACAGTGCTCCCATTATGAAAGTCTAGGCACAGCGGCTTATCTGCCACGGGAAGTCAAATCAGTGTTTAAGCCTGTTCACTGGACTTGGTTTTTCACTCCATGTGAAAGTTGAAGACAACATTGAGAAAACTGTACATCTACGCCAGCACCCTGCAGTAAGAGCAACCAGTCTCTGAGGGACATGAACACATTCTGGGAAGCAGACCTCGCGGGACAAGTGTCATGGCAGCTACCTGAAAGTGTTTTCTACCACGTATCTGCAAAATCAATCTCCCACAATATGCTCCCAACTGCACAGATTTACGTACTTCCCGTGATTCAGACCCAATGTTGGCAACCAGGTCAGTGACCTATATTTATTCCACTCGAGTTAAATCTTAACACTGGTTCTCAAAACTATGTAGGCAGAGCTCTCCAAGGCGCTTATAGCTTATGGTAATAATCACGAGAACACAAACAAATTTTGTAAATAATACAGCAAATAATACACATATGGCAAAAGATCTAGTTCAAAGTAAAAAAGATGCAAACAAACGGTGACGCCTGATACTGCCTTGTATGGTCTGGTGGAACCTATGCCAACAAACTGGAACCATAAATATGATGCAAGAATTCATCCTAGTCATAATTACAATCACAAAATTCTCCTACTTCTTAAACATCAAACATTGGTTAAATAAGTTCATCTACAAGTTAATTCAATTCTCTCCTTTTCAAGAAAGTACAGATTGACATAATTCATATTCTCAAAAAATAAATAAATATCCCACTGAAACAAATTCAATTTTGATCGAAGTTTCAATAAGACATCATTGAGAAAAGTGTCCAATATCAAATTTCTGACACATCTGCTGGTCCAAAGCCTGAATCTTGTAAATCTATTTTGGATTCTAAAGCCAGATATCACACAAATAAGTAGACTTGAAAGTTTCTCTCCAACCACATATAGGAGACAAGGAGTACTTAATATGATTTCAATCACTGTAAGTCACCGAAACACCAACATGAGAATGAAATAAATCATAGACATAAATTCTTCTTTCCAAACACTACTAGCCCCGAGTCTGTCCAGCCCTGATGGTCCAACATGATTACTAATCTAGGTTAATTGATACCAGCCCAATCACAAGTTCCTACGCTGGTAAACAGAGGCACACAAAAATATACCAGTTTCTACATTAGTTTCAGCTACAGCTCCCAGCAAAATAAACAGGCAATATAAGGACCAGTGATCTATTTTAGTCCTACCTACACTCCTACTGTTCTCAGTGTGTACAGCACTTTCTTCCAGAACATAGATAGGGCATTATCTATTACAAATTTTATGATGTGTACAATCACACAGGGCATTGTTTAAACCTCACAAATATCTATCACAAAAATCACCTATCTCACTCCACTTACTTGACACAGTTCATGATCATGGCCTGAAAGTGAACAAACAGTCATTAATTCTTGTGAGTCCCCAGTACATCTTGACATGGTCAGGAGGTTGTTTATTGTCAAGGGTCATGCAGTACCATGGGGCATCATTGTCCTGATGAAGGTGTTCCACATGGAGGCCCTGGCGTTAAATATTCATATCATCAAGGTCACTGACTCTCTTGCTGCTTTTGCTCAACAATATTCAGCCGTGTTTTGTGTTGTTTGTTTGTTGTTTAACACATCACTCAGCACTATTCCAGCTATATGACAGCGGTCTGTAAATAATCAAGTCTGGACCAGACAATCCAGTGATCGATACCATGAGCATCGATCACACAATTGGGATACGATGGCATGCATCAACCAAGTCTGCGAGCCTGACCACCGGATCCTGTTAGTCGCCTGTTATGACAAGCATGGGATGCTGAAGACCTATTTTAAACCAGATCTTCACAGGTTTATTCAGACATGTGATGTGATCTGACAGAGAACTGCTTTTACATCTTCAATATGCATACCTTGCATATAGTAACTAATAGGCCAAAAAGAAATGCGTGTGCTTCCTTCTTCAGCCCATCAACAACTGATTATATATTACTTGGTGGATGGGGTACAACAAAGCTGTGTTTTCAGACCATATCTTTTAGTTCTCAGATCAAAATTATAACCATATTATTAATACACCACTCTCATGTCCAGGGAAGGGCAGGATAAGAAGATAAAGATTTCCAGGAATGATCCCTAACCGATCCTTACACTCATTTGAACATGTCCAACTTGTTGCCATGGAAATAGAAAAAATAAAAAATCCTGATTGAAAAAAAAAGGCACCAGTTCAGCAATTGCCTGATGAGTAAACAAAATTTTATGAAGAAATATTGAACGGTTTATAAGCATGATAAGTTTTGCTCTGGAAAAAAACCCAAACCTCATTTGAACATAAATCCAACTTATTACCATGGAAACAATTTCATTTTCAAAATACCTTTCAAGCTAACAAAACAAGTTTAGTGCATGCCTGATATGTCATGAAGAAATATTGAAAGGTTTAGGAGCTCCAGAAACGGAAAGCGACAGATGGATAGAAAACTTTGTTTGGGTGGGGATAATTACTCCGATAAATGATTGGTGCACAAGTTAAAAAGTATAACTTTGATTTACAGACTTTAACCTTCCAGGAATGTGGTTGCACATAATTGGACTAGACTGACATTTAGTCCCAGTTATAAAGTTATCTTATTTATCTTATTTAAAAATATATATCGACCAAACAGAATTTTTTTTATTTAAATGGAGCCCAGAACAATGCTTAATTTCAGGCCAAGACCTGAGGTAATCTAGACTTGAGTTGGACTCCCTTCTTAATTAATTCTCTCGGGACTGGAAGACAGGCTATATTGGGACTATGACACATTTGCACAGGACCTTGGTAAACTTGATTACTGCATCATTATCACAGACATCTTAAGTGAAGCATAAGTGTAAGTGTAGGAATTGTCAGCCCTGACACAAACATTACTTCCCCCGCAATCAATCTTGAAACACTGAAAACCAATATCTCTAATCATGCTAATAGGGTGTCATGATCTTCATCTGGACTTTACACCTCATGTACAATACATCAAACTATGTATGCATTCATTGTCTTAGTTCTGTATTAATATTCATAATAAGGACTAGTAGGCTAAAACTGTTAGTTTCTAATGCTGGTCATGGATAGTTGACAGTAAAGAAGACTTCTGTCGTAAAAATGAAGATGATGCAGATGAAGTTCTCAGACGTTTACCAATGTGGTGAAGCCAATGAGCACAGGTATGGTGCTGACAAGCCTCGAGACATAATCGGGGCAACCCCCACCTCCACCCCACCCCCAAAACTGATTAGTTTCAAACAAATATTGACAAGCGTAAATCAATATTTAGGTCCCAAAAGTAACTTCTATTTGTATTCAATCATGAATACCAAGCAAACACTTATAATTGTGTTTATCAGAATCACTCGGCCTGATACTCCTCAACATGTAGCTGATCAAAAGTCAGTCCTTCGTTGTCATAACAAATCTGAAGCAATGAAACTTTCACTTGTGATGATAATGAGATATGACCCTGACATCGTCCAGCACTCTTTGAGTGCCTAGTGAGACTGGTATGGGGTGCCGGGCATGGGTGTAGGTGATGTGGAACACTTGTCAGTCTGTAAAACAACCAACTTTCACCACAGTGAGGTCACAGTCAACAAGTTACCTGCTTTATCCAACTAGATAGGTTTGCGACCTTTGCCACTAGTCTGAAGCCGGTGCCTAAGAGTGAAAAAAATTTGGCACAGACTGAAGAAGTGGAGCAAAATACTAATACCAAAATTCAAACATTCACGATGGCTGTCTGTAAATAATCGAGACTGGACCAGACAATCCAGTGATTGACATCAGGAGCATAGATCTACACGATTTGGACATGAACCTGACCACCCGATCTCGTTAGTCGCCTCTTACAACATGCATAGTTTCCTCTTACAGCAAGCATGGGTTGCTCAAGACCTAACCTAGATCTTCATAGGGAGCGTGAGGTGAGGTGAGGTGAGGTGAGGTGAGGTGAGGTGAGGTGATAGTGCTAGCTCACTGAGATACCATGCTGCTGTTTAACATGACCATCCCACTCAAATACAGCATACTCCGAGCCCACCAGTCCTTGTTTTATCCCTTTAATGCCAAGCACCAGGCAGGGTAACAACAAGTACCATGGCTTAACATCTTTGAATACTGCATGAAGGCCTAAGGCTACTAAAGCCCTTCTCAAAATGGAAGATAATACTGTTTGAAGTCTCACGGCTACTAAATCCCCACTCAAAAAGGAGGAGAATATGGTTGGAAGGCACCCAGCACTCAAAGCCCCTTCCAGGATAAAGAATGCTGGCATGAAGGTATACATATGAAGGGAGTCAGAAAAAACTCCTAAACCTTTGTCTGACACTGACACATGGAAAGAGGCGCAATAAGTCTGCCGTGTTCGGTTTACAGCAGCGTGTGTGGTAGGTGTCATAGCATTCAATGTTTAAAAAGTCAAGGTAACATGCCACCTACTTAATTAAACAGAAACATACGGTTTACCTACTAGTTTGTGTAGTACTGGGTGTAGGCCAAGGTACTCTATCTCAACAGAGGCCTGGCACTTGACTCATACAGTGATAAAGTAACTACACAGTTAAGTGTCACTTTCAATAAAAAAATTATCGACTTAAAGATTCAACAGACTAGAGGAAGAAGCACAATCCAAAAATGAAATTTGTCTGAATTAATTTTTATTTGCCCGCCTCTATCCTTCATGGCGTCAAAAAACAAAAAGGTGTTTCCAAAAAATAACAAAATTATTTAACATTCTACGGCCACTGCAAACAACTAATAAAGTTATCTTTGACGCATCTAATCTGGGCAAGGTAATCCAGTGATAAATATAATGAGCTATGATCCATGCCATATTTTCGTTTGCAAGTAAAATAATCCATGAAAACAGTGAGTGAACTAACATTCTCTGAGATTGTGTCTTTTTGTTGTAATTCTCCCATAAAGTATGTGGTGCAGCCAGTTTAAACTGTTGTGCAGTCAGTTATCAACTGCAGCCTGCACTAGGCATGCTAGGTGCAGTGGAGAACACAAAAATGAAATCGCACCCTACTGTCAGTAGAAAGAGGTTCAAATCAAGCTTGAAAAATGAAAACAAAATGAAAGTTTATTAATAAAATGAGTGAGTGAGTGAGTTGGGTTTAACGCCGCTTTTAACAGTATCACAGTTATATCGCGGCATGTCAGCTTAATGTGGGAGGAAAGCTCGAAGTGAAGCAGGTCTTAGACGTTT